TACACCACATCTATCTATCTATCTATCTATCTATCTATCTATCTATCCCCATACACCACATCTATCTATCTGTCTATCTGTCTATCTATCTAATCTTCCAGTAAAATATAGCTGCTGGAAGAAAGAGTTTTATATTTATTTTTTACTTGACATATATTTAACTCTCCAAATATTTTTTCTATTTAATCCATTATTACCCACTTAACTTTCCAAGCTGGATTCCTTCACCACAACTGTAGTTTCAGAGATTTCCCCCACCTCCTGTCCTGTGTTATAAATCATGGCTAAATAGGAAGTCCCCTGGCAACAAATCATTACGTCTTATTAAACATAGTATAACTCCTATAAAGCCTTATTGGTTTGAATGAATGCTTCAAAGGGTTTGCTGCTAGTATTTAAAGCTCTTTAATAATAATCTACATATGGAAGTGCCTTTTGCATCTATGTGTTCCTCACAGAAAACTGTGATCAGAGGGATTGGATTGAGACTGTCTGGAATTGCAGCAGAATATTGTGTGTGTATCTGTGTCTGCACAGGGGGAGGGTTGGTGAGGTGCTTTCTTTAAGGACTAGAGCCTCTGGCATTCTCTCGCCTATAAATCAGAGCACATTTTTAGAGAGACAGGTTGGGTGAGGTCATATCTTTTAGGAAGCTGGTCCAATAAAAGATATGACCTCACCCACCTTGTCTCTCTAATATCCTGGGACCAACATGGCTACAGCAACACTGCATAGAGTACACTTCAGGTATCTTTCTGGGTAGGACTGAAGAGGTTTTGTTTTCCATTCTAATTTTGCCACATGTGTGTTCGTTTTGGTGTGTGCAAGAGCTGCCATGGTCCAGAAGATTAAGCAGAGGCTGGGAACATTGGCTCCCAGGACTCCTGGGTTCTTTTCCTGCTCTCTCTCACTGGCCTTGGGCAATTTGTTTAGCAGGGAGAATGATACTTTATCTGTCTCATGGGTGTGCTGTGGGGTTAAATAAATGAATGTTTGTAAAGTGCTTTGAGCTCAGCTGCAAGGGGACCCTGGCCAAGCAGAGAGAGTGAGGACCGCTCTCCAGGCAGGGAGACCTGGGTATGATCCTGCTCAAAGAGGGAAGAGACTGGGAGACCCAGAGGTGAGGTTAGGAAGTGGCCCAGCAAAAACTTCAATACATGTAAAGGAGCTGACTTAGGTGTGCAGCACAAGGCCATGGGCCAGAACCCAGAGTACAGAGTGGGACTGGGTTCCCCCACCGGCCCCAAGGAAGGGACAGCAGTGGTTGTCGAGCCCAGCAAGGCTGACCCAAGGTCTGACTGAGGGCAGAAAGGTTTGTTTTGTGTTAAAGACATTTTGGAGATTTGTCGTTTGGAGGACAGTGACCCAGGAAAAGGTGGACTAAAGACAATGACCTGGC